GTGTGAGTGTCTACACCACCGCAAATTTGGTATCGCCTAAGTCGGGACAAGCGCCATAAACCGTAAACCCTAAGTGTAGCCTCCGGACAAACATTGAGCTGGGAAATCCGAAAAGGCTGAGGTCAAAACACACAGACCGACACCCTAAACCCTAAACATCCCTAGGCCCTAAACCCTAAACCGACACTATTCTGCTTGAGGGAGTGGGGTCTGGCCATGCATGCATCTGCAATGCTCTAGAGTTTCGGAGTGCGACTAGGCGTTAACTGTTCTGCCCGTTGGGGTTAGGATCTCGGGTTTTGAGAGATTTCGTTACCCTGTTGTGCCCGAAACCCCTAGACCATCCTTCATTTTCGCTGTCAGATGCTCTGCTGCGCGCGAGATTTGAGCTGCGTCGGGGCGCGGGCCGAAGCCTCGGTTGTCTCTTGGATTGGAAACTCGCGGCATGTTCTCCGAAGCGTGGACTCTGATTCCCTAAAGCTCGGAACACCCCTTCAAAGGCTGGGAATCGTAATCCCCCAATAGCTTGCGCAAATCAAACCAGATTAAAAATGACATTCCTCAATGATTTGACGTGAAGCAAAATCCCATGCTTCAAGAAATGGTGTACCATGAAGCCTTCAAAAAGCCCAATCATGCGAGCATTGTGGATGCAAATGGGGGTGCTGCGCGCCCCCCCCTCCCACTCCTTTTAAAATTTGAGCCATGCGAACTTGCCTCAAACAACGGCATGCCGTCAATAGACATTCTCTAGATCTCATGATGCCAATCATGCGAGCGTTGTGGTTGGAAACGTGGAGGCTGCACCGCCCCCCCTCCAACCCCTCCCACTAATGTTTAGCCATGCGAACTTGCTTCAAAGAACAGCGTGCCGTCAATGGACATTCCTTCATGAAGCCTTTCCATGAGCCCAATCATGCGAGCATTGTGCTTGCAAATGGGGGCAAACCATCCACCTGGAACGCACATTACCCTGCCTCATGCTTATCAAATAGGATCTTGTTTTTGTTGATCCATATTTCTTTTTATCTTTTGGAATAGTTTTCGATGCTCCTTTCAAATGTTTATTGGATGCCTGACCCTAGAAAGACCCACCCTGTTGAGGATTTTATGTTATAAGGGTGTAGGGCTTAGGGATTTTGGCTATAAAGGGTTTAGGGTCTAGGGTTAGGGCTTTGGGGTTGGAGTTTCAAGTTTAGGCTTTTCGGCTTCTTAGGGTTTTGGGGCTTCAGGTTCGTTGGGTTTTTGTATTCGGCTTGGCGGCTTGTTGGGTTTAGGCTGGTGGGCTCAAGAGCTTCGGGGTTTCGGCTTGAGAGCTTTTGGGTTCAGGCTCTGTTCTGCAAACCAGTGAAATTAGAGTTCCCTAAACCCTAAACCCTTAATCCCTAAACCCTAAACCCCTAAACCCCCATACCCTAAACCATACCTTGGTTCTGCCGGTCATGATCCTGGCTTTTCAGAGCTCAGGCAAAGCCCCAAACCCCGGCGCGCTCCACCGGGTCCTCCCCGTTTGCGGAGCCGAAGCCTCAGATCTTTTCATCAGGTCTTGGAATTAGGGTTTACGGGTTTAGGGTCCCACGGGTTTCAGGGTTAGTTTCGGGTTGAAGCAGGGGTTGGGGGTTTCAGGGTTTAGGGTTAGTCTAGGGTTTAGGGGTTTCAGGGTTAGTTTAGGGTTTAGGGTTGTATTCTGAGTTTTTTATCAGCACCCAGAAGCTCAGAACCCGAGTGAGTCCACGAACCTCAGGCTGTGGAATGCATATAGTCATATAGATGCACCATGCACCGCGCATCGAATCTATGAGCCCGAGGTTGGTCATGTTTGCGATTACTGCCTTAGGGCTGTCGTTAAGCGACCGAAACCAAGTCAACTTATGAGATATGACACGGAAAGTCGAGTAGTAGCAGTAGCAGCAGCAACAACAGCGGCGCCACCGCCCCCCCCCCCCCACGACTGCCAACACTATCCTCCTCACATTACTCCGATCATCGTCAACAGCATACTCATTACGATCATCGTCACAATCGTCATCACCATCATCACCACATATCAGCACCATTTCTATCATCACCATACTCACACTCAGCATCATCAGCATCATGACCAAGAAAGCCAACAGGACCACAAGCACCATCAGCAGGCTTTAGCACCTGCGGGTTCCCATTGAGGATTGCTTGATGGATCCATGCGACTCATCGCCAAAAATCCACAAACCCTGCCCCTTCTCCAAACCACGGAGCTCATTACGAATCAAGTTGCCTACCCGTATGCATCGAGCAGACAAAAGTCGGCTTTGACTGTTTCCTGAACGCCAGCCCTGCACAAATCCGATCCAACAACGACCCTGGGACCTCGAAAGTCCAGTGTCTCAACTACTCCCTAACCCCTACAACCGAAACCCTAAGCCCTAAAACTTCTAGTTGTGGTTTACGCTGTCCGAAACTCTCTACTGTCAGGCGCCTGGGTGAGGAGTGTGGGCCCAAGCATCCTAAGGTTTAAGGGTTTAGAGTTTATAAGGCTTAAGCATTCTGCCGCAAGTCTTTCAAGCTGCTTCTGCAGGCTCCGAGAACAAACCTGAAAACGGTTTTTGTTTATCACAGCCCTGAGCGTCGTTTCCAATCTGCTCATGCACAGGATGAGCAAGACAGGTAAGGAGTACAGGAATAAACAGAAAAAAAACTAGTATTTAACCAATTATATAAACCAGATTTGCGTACCTATATAACATGTTTATGTATCTCTGCTTCTAAGGTTCAGCGCAGGCGAGGGCGAGCAGCAGGGGACCTGTCGATGTAGCACACAAACGTACTACGTACGGTTTAGCCCTACACCTAGACTCCAAAGTTTAGGAGGCTTAGGGCTTTCTGGGGGTCTAGGGTTAAGGGTCTTAGGGCTTAGGCCTAGAGTCCACGGTTTGAAGTTGAGAAGTAGAGACTATCCTTTGAGGTTCAACGTTCAAAGAGCTGTGAAGTCATTATGTGGAAGCCTTTCCTTTAAGTGTGGCACCTGTTGGTCAGATTGACCTTGGGGAGAGGATTGCTTCTGAATGCACTATGCAGCTAGCGGGGTCTTTGTCGCTTAGTGGCTAGAGTCCCCCCTAAACCCTAAACCCTAAAACCCCAAACCCTAAAACCTTAAACCCTGCGACCCACACCCTAAAACCCTGAACCCTAAAACCCTAAGCCCTAAACCCTACCTTAAAACCCTAAACCCTAACACCCGGAGGCGATGTGTTGGCTTTGAGCAACATCCCTTTCGCACGTAACCGGTTCCGCTTCGGTCTTGCTTCGTCGTCTAGCTTGCTACTCGTAGCGCTCCGTTTTACTCGACGTGGGAAACTGGATGAAGCATGGAGCATACTCTAAAAACTATGTACACACATACCTTTATTTATGTATATGTATATATATATATATATAATATACACACATATTTGTATGTATGTCTGTATGTATGTATGCATGCATGCATGCATGCATGCATGCATGCATGTATATGTATGTGTGTATGTGTATGTGTATGTGTATGTGTATGTGCATGTGCATGTGCATGTGCATGTGCATGTGCATGTGCATGTGCATGTGCATGTGCATGTGCATGTGCATGTGTATGTTATGCTATGTTATTTTATGTTATGTTACGTTATGCTATACCATGTTTTGCTATGTTATGTTGTTATGTTATGTTATGTTTTGTTGGGCAATGCTATGTTATGTTATGTTTTGCTGGGCAATGTTATGTTATTTTATGCTATGCTTTGCTATGTTATATGTTTGTTATGATATGCTATGTTATGTTATGTTATGTTATGTTATGTTATGTTATGCTATGTTATGTTATGGTATGGTATGGCGTGGTGTGGTATGGTATGCTATGTTATGGTATGCATATACGTATGTATGTATGTCTGTCTGTCTGTCTGTCTGTCTGTATGTATGTATGTATGTATGTATGTATGTATGTATGATGTATGTACATATACACATATACATATACACATACCATGCGGACCCCCCCCCCCCCCCGCCCCAAGCTCCGAGCTCCGAAGCCACAACAGGCTAAAGCGCCTCAGCCTTATAGGCCCTAAACGAAACCCTGAGTCCATGAAGCCCCCTTTGACAACTGCGTAGTAAATCCTCCAATCAAGGCACTGCGCTTGTATCCGCTATTGACAAGGCTCCTGCCCGGCTCTCAGTTGGGTTTAGGCCCTTAGGGTAGCTGGATGACCATCAAAAGAAGCACGGTTTTGAGAACAGCTGCTGGTTATGTGCAGCGACGTCGAGTGCCGAGCTGCGCAGGCTAGTGCTGAGTTTACCATATTTCAACAGGAACCCCGCCTGAATTGTTTTGCAAGCCATATTTTGCGCAGTCATACTTTGGGCTGCAATCTTGACATAGAGGCGTTTGTCCAGATAGTCGATCCCATGTTACGGGTGAATCAACCAATCATGAAATGAGCCTGAAGTGGGGAAAGGAGGGGCGACGAAGAGCTTGAATCTAAGCAAAATCCCAGGATCGAAAATGCCCATGTCTTGGCTTGCAGGAGTCGTTGGGACATGTGGCTGAGAGCCAGAGCCACTGCAACTTGCTTGCACGACGCGTCGGGGTTCGCTGAGGGTGATGGTGATGAGACAGCTGGTGCGACAAATGGCAGAAAGTTGGTGCGAACTCTGCGAGCACCCTTGCCATGACCGGCAGCTAATAATTCTAGTGGTCCAGAAAATACCGAGCCAAAACATTTGCTCATAACTTTGTATTGTCCGTGCCTATGAGCATGGTTGTCGCAGTCTTCTCCTTTCTATTGTCTCGGTTTCATCCTCGCCATCGTCTCCTCCCTCCAGCAATCATGTTCATCACAGGCTGGAGGTGGTGCCGGCAGCGTCGGCAGCCGCTAATCTCCAGCGCAATGGTCTATGAGCTTTGCAATGTCACTTTCTAACAGTCAGCTGCAACTGCCCAACTGCTGGACAGCCTCATCCAGTCTTTCGGCTCTGTGGACCTTATGCATGTGGACATCCACGAGGCGGGGGGAGAAGTATGCTCAGGTTGTGGCGTGTCACTGCGTCTTACAGCATGTAGCGGTAGCAATTTGGTGGCGGGAGAAGTGTCGCTTTGGAGGCAGAGCTGGAACTGGTAAAGCGGAGCATCCTGTTACCGATGCTTGGGCTGCAAACTTCGCCAGAACTTAGTTCGGCGGTGCGCAGGAGTGGAAGAAAGTGGAGGAGTGCTGTTGTAGACGTGGTAGACCCATCCTTCACTGACCTTTGCCCCTGGCCTTTCTGAAGGAAGGTGCAACACCTCTTCATTGGTACACACGGGCGGCTCATCCACCGCGAGGTGCGAACGTGGCTGACGGCTTCTCCCTGGACTTCGACTACGTGGGCAAAGACTTCCTGCCGACACCCTATGGCCCGGTCGTCTTCGGCGACAGGGTCCTTGCCGCAAGAAAAACAGCCTTGGAGCTTTTCGCATTGCTTCGCACGTTGCTGTACACATTGCTTGCCGGCAACATGCAGGTCACACGCAACTTTTGCTCAAAGTCAGCTGGTGATGGCCGGTTCCGCAGTCTCCTGGCTCACCGCCAGCAAGGCGGGCAGTCCAATCTGAAGCGGTGCTTCACCAACTGCTCGTGAGATGTGAGCGATTTGGAGAGGCCGCTTCCCGCGAAGATGCGCTGCGATCTTGGTAAGAAGGCTGGCCGAAGTTAATGAAGCTCTCTTGTGTGTCGGACCGCGCCGTACAGTTTCAGCTTGTGGTTATGTGTAGTCATCCTTCTTGCCCACGTGTTTGCTATTTTGCCACGCTTCTGCTGCTCTTGCAAAACTGAATGAGCTGGATGGAAGGCCACGCGTCAGCATGATCATGCAAGCAGTCTTCTTCAAGCTCAGTCGATGCCTGATGTTGGGCTACCAAAGGTGACTTGCAAACCGCTTGGGCACGCCTCTCTTTGTGCGGGACAAGTCTGATTATTGTTGGTCGACCGCCTCCTTCCACGCATTGTGCATGTGCGGTGTTTCGGCTTTAGCTTGTAGAGTGCTTGCCGAAGTTGAGAAGCACATTGCAACCCTCCAGTGCCAGGACAGGAGCAGTAACTGCAGCTTGAAGCCCAAAACCCACCTTCAGGCAATTCCACGGAGATGAGTCAGTAGTAACACAGTGAGCAAGTGGACAGAGAAAATAGTATAGCCCTTTTAGAGAGAAGCAGTATAGTATAAAAAGCAGCAAAAGCCAAGGCGAGCACAGCAAGATAGCTGAGTCAGCACTACCAGAGACGGCAAGCGGCACCTGAGCAACGCACCCTCTATCCATTTTCGTGGCGCAGCATGGGTATGCCTTGCTTTTGTTGTTCCATGGTACACCTGCTCGAACCTGTGGAACCGTGTGTCGCCTTTCTGGATGGCAGGTTCCAACTGCGTCGCCTCCACGTCAATCGGCTGCCTGTTCTGCTGTAAGGCCTGTACTGGTAGCAAGCAGCACCTCTCGCTGCCCCCGCAAAACACGCGCGGATTCTGAAGCCGAGACAAAATGCTCGACTGCAGTCTGATGTCTGATCCGGCCAGGG